ACTATAATGGTAATTTCTTTCAGCTTGCTTCGTGCTTTTAGCAGCAAAGATTTAATTTGTGCTTCAATGAAGCTAAAAAGTCTTATAAAACAGGCTTTAATTATAAATATTCTGCCAGTGGCCGAGTGAAGAGGAAGAAAAGCAGCGTTCTGTCACAGGCAGGAATATTTTAATAGATAGAGAAAAAAAACGATAAAGTATTCTGGTAAGACACATTTATTTAAAAATGTGCAAAGATATGTCAACGTTGCTCTTTAAATGTTAATGCAAACAGTATTTTATAACATTTTTGCATAATAATGTTATAATTATCAGAAGCTGGTAGTGTTTATTTTACACTGACGCCAGATTAAACGAAGCAAAAATATCCAGCTAGTCATTTTCTGATGTTGCACTGCAAAAAAAACCCCAAAATCTAATTGAATATTTTTAGTCTAGTTTCTTGGGTAAAAATCTTAAATAACACAAAACTAACTTACAAGTAACTTTTCTGCAACATATAGGATTTCATTTTATATTTTATTTTTTGGTTTGTTTTACTAATTTCATTTTACTACTGATGCTGTTTTAATTGCTAAACCATTTCAGTTTTGACCTTTAATTATCCAGAACTGTCGAGATTTGCATAAACTATTTCAACGCTGCAAAAACTCAAAATCTAACCCAGTGTTTTTGGTTTAGTTTCTCGTGTAAATATTTGAAATAAGACAAAACTAACTCATGTCTAGCTTTTAAGCAAAGGTATAGGAGCTTGTTTTAGGAAATAATTTCTTAATGTTGATGAAAAATACAGATTATTTCATTTATAACATGGGAAAAATATCTTGCAAGTGAAATAATCTGCCAAAAAAAACTTTTTTTATGCACCTTTGCATCAATACTAAATCAGGTATTTGCTCTAGAAACTGAACTCAAATTACTTGGTGATATGTTGTGTTTTTGCAGTGCACTAAATGATGAAGGAAGTCCAAAAAGTGCATAAATCTAGAAAATAAATCAGTGATTTCCCCTGACAGAGCGTTGATATTTCTGTTGTGTTTGTGGAGACATCTGTATGCCAGAGCAGAGCTTCCTGTAGCTGCTGCTCAAGGTGCCTCTCTTTATGGACTCACACCTCCAATCTTTTCTGCAGCTGCACAATAAAGTCAATATTCATCATGACAAAAGATCAGACTGGAGCTCATTGTTTCTCGCTGACGAACGAACAATCGTGCCAAAAAACAAACAACGGCGTTTTAAATGATCTTTTTTTTTGTTTTGTAAATGTAACGCAGCGCCGGGTGGAAGCTGCGATTTGATGGTGTAAAAAAATGAATTAATGATCCAATAATTAAGGAATATTATCTTTAATTAAAGTCAAACCACTAACATGTTTCAGCTTTTTTCCTACAGGCCATCAAACACTCGGCTGTTGATGCAACCAGGTTTTATTCTAATATTATCAACATGAAGTTTGTAACTTTTAACTCATTTATGTTTAATTAAGAAGTTGCTTCTTCAGACTTTAATTAACATATTAAATGGTGTCACCATAGCAACCAGCAACCTATAGCTCCTCCCCCTTTTGTCTGTTGCCGTTGGTAACCGCGTATCAGGATCCTTTTCTCATATTTATATTTATATTTATTCATATGCAGCATTTCATGAGTAACTGCTATTTTTGTTTACACCTTTTACTGTTGTTATTGTTGATGTTGTGCATTTTAGCTATTTTACATCTGCTAACTGTTAGCTACTAATAGTACAGTTAACTAACAGTTAGCTAACGGTTAGTTAACAGTTAGCTAACTGTTAGTTAACTGTTAGCTACTAATAGTACAGTTAACTAACCGTTAGCTAACGGTTAGTTAACAGTTAGCTAACTGTTAGTTAACTGTTAGCTACTAATAGTACAGTTAGTTAACTAACAGTTAGCTAGTTAACTAACTGTTAGTTAACTGTTAGCGAACGGTTAGTTTACTAACCGTTAGCTAACGGTTAGTTAGCTAACTGTTAACCGTTAGCTAACTGTTAGTTAACTGTTAGTTAACTGTTAGCGAACGGTTAGTTAACAGTTAGCTAACAGTTAGTTAGCTAACTGTTAACCGTTAGCTAACTGTTAGTTAACTGTTAGTTAACTGTTAGCGAACGGTTAGTTAACAGTTAGCTAACAGTTAGTTAGCTAACGGTTAACCGTTAGCTAACTGTTAGTTAACTGTTAGTTAACTGTTAGCGAACGGTTAGTTAACAGTTAGCTAACACTTAGTTAGCTAACTGTTAATCGTTAGCTAACTGTTAGTTAACTGTTAGTTAACTGTTAGCGAACGGTTAGTCAACAGTTAGCTAACAGTTAGTTAGCTAACTGTTAACCGTTAACCGTTAGCTAACTGTTAGTTAACTGTTAGCTACTAATAGTACAGTTAGCTAACAGTTAGCTAACAGTTAGCTAACTGTTAGCTAACTGCTATTGGGAGTTCAGTTTGTTTAGGGTCATTTTATTTAACATATAGCTGTTATACTTGGTTTCCTGTTTTATTAGCGTAATTTCAGAGAACCTGCTGGACCCGAGGTGAACAGAGAAATGTTTCATTTAAAAAATAGGAACCAACTCAAAGATGAGCTCTGAAACGAGCCGCATTTGCACTCAGAGGGATTCGGATTGAGGGATTTATGGTTTTACTGATGCATGTATGGATGTGCGCCCAAACGTAGCCGGGGTTTCCATGGCCACGCGGAGCCGTTCTGTGCATATATAGAGAGAAGATGACTGGGTTTTGGTCGCAGAGGGACCAATTATCTGTTTCAGAATAAGTGAGAAGTGAGAGCTGCATGGAGGAATCCAGATATAGTGAAACCCATAAGCAGTAATTGTGCAGATTAGGAGAACATGCCTGGAATGGCAACGCTAAGAGGAACGAACACAGCCAGGTTAGTAATTTCACAGAGACAGAAGGTCTTAATCCCACTTTATAATTAAAATGTGAGGGATTATCCCCAAAGTTTTCCTGAGGTTTAGATATTATTCTAATCCTGCTCTAATTTTCAGAGTTGCTGCTTTTACTTCTGTAATGTTATTAAGAAGTATCGCTCCTCTGACTTGAGTAAAATTATGGCTGCATTTTGATTTTAATTCACTAAATTGTATTTAGTAAATTAAGTAACAGAACAATAGGATTAAACATTTTATCATATAAAACGACAATTTTATGTGATAAAATGAGAATTTAATTGTCATATTATTTAATAGACTTTTTTTCTAAACTTTATTGGGTTTTTAACTAATTGTACAGCCTGTTGTCGTATCGTGAACGAACTGTGCAACTTTCTGAAACAAACTCAAAAAGAAAAAACAGACTAGCAGCCTCCAGTCACATAAAGAAAACATGAGAAAATGTAAATAAGCAACACTTTTCCCAATAAAGTAAGTCAGTTTTGCTCCCTGACAGTTACTCATGCATGTATTTTGAGTTTTTGCAGTGTTTTTAATATTTAGTGGTTTATAACATGCATCTCGGGCAGTTTTGCTTAATTTCTAAACTATTTCCGTCCTAAATGGCACTTTTCAGTTTCACTTTGTGCCTGGTTTCTAAATTAAAGGATACCAGTGTGCTTGCATGTTTAGTAATAAAGAAAAAAACAGAAGGTAGATTTTTTTTGTGTGTTTTTATTTGTTTCCCAGTCGAGGGACATTAGGCAGTTAATGTTCATAATGTTGATCAGAGGGACAGCCTGGGGGAAGAAACTGTCTCCAACTGCTGGTTTTCACTCGATAGCTCCAACGCAAAGGTAAACATTGGAACAGTTTGTGTCCAGCATGTGTGTGGTCTGCAGAGATGTTAGCTATTTCTACAAAAAAATAAAAGAAAATATGCCATTCATAGTGGAAAAGCTGAAATAGATCTCGATTTAGAGTCTGAATCTTAACCACAAAACAGCAGCGTTAAAACATGCTGCATGACTGAGTTTTTTGGCTTAATGTTCCAGTTTCTGTGGGTCAGTCAGCAGGCTGGCCTCCAGCTTCCTCGTGCGGTTAGCTTGAAGTGATAAAGTTAGCAGAGATGCTAAACTCCACGTGTTGTTTTTGTGCTTTTTATGATTTGTGGCCGTATAATTGCTTAGGATTTGAATTGATTGAGTTTTGTTGGGTGTCAATGCTTGATGGAGACTTTCTGACCAGAAACATTGTTGGAAAGCTAAATAGTATTGTTTTTTGTTTTAGTCTTTATTGAGAGGAGTCAACACTTTCGGGATGAGTCTGAATGATTCTTTGTACCATTTGAAAAGGAAACCATTTATTCATTAGATCTGAGAATGAAAGAAACAACACTGTGGTTGTTTCTTTCATTCTCTTATTTTTATCTTTATTGAAGATAATTGAACGTTCTATAACCTTTCTTTTTGGAGCAAAACCGATTACTTTTGTCTTTTCAGCGTAGTGGTGGATGAAATTTTTATTCATACAGCAGCCTAATGAGACCAAAATCTGTTTTCCCCCCTTTTTAACTCGTATCTAACTTTGTCATTTCAGTCTGAACGGCCTGATTCCAATCTTTTCAACTGCTAAAAAAAAAAATCAGATTTTTGGCACTTCCATATCTCCATACTTAATGGGAGATTTTATATCATCTGCAGTCTGAACGGTCATGCTGCATTTTATCATATTTGGATCATAATTCTGCACAGGAAGAAACCAGACATGATAAATGTGAACGTAAACAATGGCTGAAAATTATTACTATTAAATTAAGTGACAAATCTGCGTCACTGAAGCGTTTCACATCACAGTCTCTCCACTTCTGGTTCTGTCTGCGCATCCAAACAGACTTCTCTACAGAAGGCTGTTGCTGTTAGTACAAGTGTACTAACAGCTTTATTTTTATTAGTTTATGATCTTTGTGACAATATTGTTGATTCCTATTGCTGAATAACTTTGAAACTGATCCGTAAACGGCTCCTGTAATTATTACTTCTGCAAATAATGCGTTGCTGTTTGACGTCGCCGCTCTTCTTCTGCGCTGGTGTCGTAAACCACAAGTTTTATTGTGATTGCATCATTTAGCAGCATGAATGGCCACATCCACACACACACAAAAAATCATATTTCATTGTATTAAAGGTGTACTGATATACTTGCATGTTAAACTAGCCTAAAAATACTTGGTAACACCTCTAAGGTGGCATCTGCTGACACATTTTGCCTCCTCTTTGCCTCCAGGACACTAGTGTCCAATCTTTGCCAAAGTCTGCTACCTACCTTTAAAGAAAATAAGAAACAGTGAAGAATACAGTTCCTCATAAGCAAACCTAATGCATCTGCAAATGTTCAGTTCACCGTACCTTGTTAGGGCTTATCAAATCAAAATGTTCCCACATAGGGGAAATCCTCCTCTTTCTCGCCTGTCCTGTCCTCACGCTCCTAAATCTCTCTATCTCTCTATCTCCTAAACTTAATATTTTGCATTGGCTATAGGGCTTGGCGTAATACTGGAGTTCAGCTCCCGCTACGAATGCTAACAGATTTATTTAGGAAACCTTCAAACCAAAAATGGGAGATCTGGGAGGTATCTTGCTCCAGCGAGAGGCGGAGTTCACCCTGGACAGGTCGCCAGCAACACAGAGACAGACAGCTGAAAAATAACCATGCATACACACATCCACACCTAAGGATGGGTTTAGAGAAATCCATTAACCTAACACTCATACTTTTGGACTTTGGGGGGAAGCCGGAGTACCCGGAGAGAACCCACAGAAGCATGGGGAGAACATGCAATATTGGTGCAAAAAGACTCGGCACGAAGTCCCGGAGGTCAGCCGGAGTCCAACGGGACTCGGCACGAAGCCCCGGAGGTCAGCCGGAGTCCAACGGGACTCCATACGAAGCCCCGGAGGTCAGCCGGAGTCCAACGGGACTCGGCACGAAGCCCCAGAGGTCAGCCGGAGAGTGTCTGATGACCTGGCGACAAATGGGACTAGAGTCTGATGGTCTGGGAACTCGAGGCCTCAAGTTCCCATGGCACCGCAGTCCTGCGGGCCGCACGCTCTCCTGCCAACATCTTCCACCATCAGCCCCTAAGTGTCAAGCTCCCTTGACACTGCAGTCCTTTTGTTGTAAAGCTTTTCTGAAGGATTCAGTTATCATGACACTTTTTAAATCACAGTTTAACCCAGTATCTCAGAGTACCATTGTCGTACATTTTCTTATACGTCTTCCAGATACCTCCCACCACATGTGCAATTACTGACGGCTGGTCTGAAACCGACTGGCTGTCTTCGTGGGTTTCCTCGTTAGGTGGCTGCTGGTTCTGCTCTTCTACTCTGTCTCTTATCTTTTTGTTCTCCTTTTTCTCTTCCGAGACATCTCTGATACTTTGCAGCTTCAGGGCGGTGTTTTCCAGTTCAAAGGCGGTGTTCATTTCCTCTAAAGCACTGGTTATCTCCTCCAGGGTCTCGCTTTTCACCTGCAGGTTGGTGCTATATTTCATCCAGGCATCGATGTCCAGCTTCAGGTTGGTGTTTTCCTCCTCCAGGGAGCTTTTTCCCTCCTCCAACGCAGTGATTTTCTGCCCCTGGGTGGTGACTTCCTGCCTGAGGATGGCTTTGATTTGCTCCAAGGCAGTGCATTTCCTCTCCAAGATGTTCATTTTCTTCTCCAAGATGGTTATTTTCTTCTCCACAGTGGTGTTTCTCAGCTTCAGGGTGGAGTTTTCCTTCTCCAGGGAGCTTTTTCCCTCCTCCAAAGCGGTGATTTTCTGCCCCCGGTTGGTGACTTCCTGCCTGAGGATGGCTCTCATTTCCTCCAAGGCAGTGCATTTCCTCCTCAAGATGGTTCTTTTCTCCTCCAAGTTGGTTATTTTCTTCTCCAGAGTGGTGGTTCTCAGTTTCAGGGTGGTGTTTTCTTCCTCCAAGACGGTTTTATTCTGCCCCAGGGTGGTGTTTTCCTGTCTGAGGACGTTGTTTATTTGTGCCAAGCCAGTGGTTTTCTGCTCCAAGACGACACTTTTCTGTTCCAGAGCTTCGATTTTCACCCTCAGAGTGGTGTTTTCCTTATCCAAGGCCGTCTTTTCGTTCTCCAAGGCCGTCTTTTCGTTCTCCAAGACGGTCTTTTCGTTCTCCAGGGAAGTGTTTTTCTCCTCCAAGGTGGCCTTTATCTTCTCCAGAGCGGTGATATTTTTCTCTAAAGTTTGATTTGCCTCCAGCTGTTCTTTTAATTTATTGTCTTTCTCCCTCAGCAGAGTGTCAACTTCAAGCGCAGCTTTCTTCACGTTTAGAACTTGGATGTTCAGCTCCTCATTCGCTTTCAGCAGAGACTTTCGCTCGATGGACATCATGCTGACTTTTTTCACAATGTCATTGAGCTGCTGCGTCTGTCTCGCTATGATCTGTTGCAATTCCTTGTCTTTGCAATCACAAGGCTTATTCATCTTCCTGCTCTTGTTCATTTTTAATTCTTTCTCTGAAAAAATCTGAAAATCGATCAGAAAATTGACTCTTTGCTTGTTAGTGCGATAAGTACAATACTTGTGCTTTCTCTCCAACTGCTGCAATAGCTATGAGCGTAGATTCAGAAGTGATGCATTCTCACTCCACAAAGGGTGCATCACTCTTTGTGACATCAAAATGTGTGATGTCACAAACTGATGTCACTGCCTCAGAAGGACAACAAGAAAACTGCTGAAGTTTGAATAAAAACAAACTTTACAGCTGCAGCTGATGGCCACTGGAGACAGTTGAGCTGGTAATACATCACCAAGGCTGAAATCCACACTTGGGAGACAGCGGCTCTTGAGGACAATGGACTGGCACAGCAGGGTGCCAGGACCAACGGTCACATGGTGCCCGAAAACAGAAAAAGGGGAAACCCAGCTGATGTTGGAAGCCACCATTTCCGACCGTCTTTCTGGCCAGTGTCCATTCATGGATAAGAAAGTTGAATGTTGAATGTTGATTCAACATTCAACGTTGAGCTGAATATCACAGTGTTTGCAGGGATTTTTCTGTTCACCGTTGGAGAAAATTCAAACTGGGATCACAGAGCCGTTAGCGGCTGGGAGCCGTTAGCGGCTGCTAACAGTTACCTATCAACCTTAGAGGAGCTCCAGAACGTTGGCATTGGTTTTTCCTTAATATTGATAAAAATGTATTAGTTCCTTAACAGATTATTCCAGTAATCAAATGGGAAAAGTGTCTTGTTGTAGGTGAAATACTTTTTTTTGTCAATATTGAGGAATTATTTGCTTGAAACAAACTCCTATTTCTTGCTCAAAATTAACTTCTAAGTTAGTTTTGTTTTATTTTTGTGAACTATGGTATTTGCACCAGAAACTAGACAAAAATACTTGGTTAGACTGCAATACTCAAAATGTCACATTAAGAAGTCTGCTTTTGAAATAAACAAAATTCTCAAATAGTTAAATGAAAAGTTGTTTTTTTTCACTGTCTGAATTCTAATCCAGATTAATTCAAATCTCAAATCTTATCCAAAGCTATATTTGAGAAAACTCGGAAGCACATTTTTCTGTAAAAGGGGAATTTAATATACAGAAATAATTTTTTTCTGACTAAAAACATTTTATTCCTTCCTCATCCTTAAACATTTGAATTAGAAGTGAACAGAAAAGTTCAGCTACCTCAGGTATCACAGAGTTTTGTTTTCATTTTCTGAACATCACACCATTATAAACAAACAGATTTGTTCATTAAATAAAACAATCTGAGCAGCTGAGGGTTTGTTTCAGATATCAGTGTAATAACCTGAAACACATTTCACATAATTGAGAAATCAGTTGAGCGAAACGGTTCAACAAATCAAAGGGAACGTGTTGAAAATTATTGATTACCTAAAAAAAAAATTCTGAATTTAGAGTTTACTGCAGATTTTCTTCACTCAAAACAAAATTAAAACCTAAACGTAGACACTATTATATTTTTTACATTTTACAATAATATTTGGATAACTTAGTGAGTAAGTAAATAATCACCATGATTATGCAAAAAATAAAAATCACTCATAACAGGATTTTTCAACATCTCTGGTTGTTTTTTGACCAGTTGTTTTAGCAGAATCAATAATAATTGCATTTGGTTGTTTTTCTGTCATGGATCCACTTGGAGCATAATCCATTCATTTTATTTTGAAATTATTGTGGTGGTAAGTCTGATAAAGAATGGCTCAAATAAATCATGAAGGCACTGATGTGACTCCATAGGAGCCGCCACCAGGAATTTAAATTTTCATCTTCATCCAGGTTTTTATTGAGGTTTTTGATTCATCTTCTCTCTTATTACCATACAAGGTCGACATTAGCAAGAAAATCTCTGCATGAACTTGCATTTAATCAGCTCTGGTGTTAAATAAACGTCTGACCTGATGGTGACTTTAAAGAATGCTAAGCAAATTAAAACTGTGCTTGAATACATTTATAAATTTAAAATAGCTTGCAGCAAAAGAAAAGTATAAAATTATGGATCATTATTCAGAAAGCTGGTGGAAAAACTGTCATGATGCGTTTAATGTAGAACCCAAGTGTACAAAAACAGATAAATCAAAAAGCCCTTAAATGAAAATTTAAACCAACATGGACTGAAAAAGAGAACAAACAATAAAAACACTTTAATGCCACTAACTGCGTTTCCATTACAAATGTTTGCAAAAGTCTATCAATATTCCATCAATTTAAAATTAACTGAGCAGTTTTTTCTTTAAATAAAAAAAAGTTTGTTTACACAGTAAATCCTTAAAAACATCGTCCTTCAGCCACTTCCTGTTGTTTTCTTCTTCTGTTTGGTTCGTGCTAGTAGCTACGTTTCTGTTAACCATAAAGTTGCTCTAATTGGAATTAAAAAATAAGTTTGCTTAATAGAAACAAGCCAAACTTATGTTTTCTTTGATAAAAAGTTTCTGTGGTAGTGTGAGTTGTTTTTTGGCCATTTATTAAAAAATGTAAACACTTTTCGCATCAAACTCGATGCAGGTGGAGCCTCAGCTGTGCCAAAGCAGAGAAAATAACCAGACAAACTTCTTCTTTTTCTAATTCTGTCCTCAAGGTGTTTCACATTTTATCTGACAATTCCCAGCTTTTCACTTTCTTTCGCTCTGGCATAATTTCAGCTTTGTGCTGAAAATATCTAACTATTCACCCGACCAGCATGTTTCAGTGTTGTCACATCTCTGCAGTGTGAAAACTGTGCAACATTCAGTGATTATATATTTAACAAGTGCGATGAGTTTATATTGTGGTGTAGCTTTTATACCTGAGGAGGAAAAGATGGGAAAAGAGAAAACATTAGGCCTTTTTTGTCCTTTCTTCATTCATTTCAAGGTTTTATTGTGTCATTATTTATATTTTACAGCATTTTCACAACATGGACTTGTTCACATTAAAAGGTTCATTTGTAAAAAATGAATCTATTACATTGACTTTACGGTTTGGGCGATGCTAGATACAAAGTTTGCACATCCTAAAACACTAAGCATAAAAATTATTTCTCAAAAGCTAAAACTTTATTAATATTATTTACAGTAAATATCATATTCACACCTCCAAACAGAAACCTAGCTTCCTGGTTTTCTAATTTTCATTTGTAAATGACTATAAATATCAAGTTTAGCTGCTTAAATTATATCTGCCCTGAAAGACAGTTTTAATTTTAACATAATTTACATGTTCTGTAATTCTGTTTTTATGTTTTTGTCTTGTTTTCTTCTGTTTTGATTGTTTCTTGTTTTAAGTAAAATTATTGAGGGAAAAAAGAGAGAGAACATGAGGAGAGGAAGTGGTTTTCTGCCACTTCAAAATAAAATAAAATACTTCTTTGATCCCCTGTCGGGGCCGGGCGTAGCACTCGATTAAAATAAATAAATTCATTAAAAATTTAAATATGTAAATAAGTAAAGTAAAAATCATAAACACACATAAAATGATAATAAACAATAGTAAAATAAGGTAAAAAATAAAATAAAAGTGAGATCATAAATGCTGATTACATCAAAAATACTTAACAAATAATAACCAAAATCTAATCAGACACTTTATTCAAACGAAAGTTTCACAAAACAACTAAAAAAATTAGAATTTATGGCTAAGCTATGCTATGGCTAAGTTATGCTATGGCTAAGCTATCCTATGGCTAAGCTATGCTATGGCTAAGTTATGCTATGGCTAAGCTATGCTATGGCTAAGCTATGCTATGGCTAAGGTATGACAAGCTATGCTATGGTTAAGCTATGCTATGGTTAAGCTATGCTATGGCTAAGCTATGCTATGGCTAAGGTATGACAAGCTATAGCGGATTAGCGCCCACCACTACAAATCACAACAGAACAGTAGCAGCACTGAGAACATAATAGTTCATTTGCTTTAAATATGTAAAGAAATATAGTTGATTTAGATTTAGGAATATTTTAATTTCACTTTTGATCTCCAGGTATTTTAATGTTATTTGTTATTGCACCGAACTGCACTGAGTTTCTTTATGCTCTGCACAGAAAGACTTTATTTTACTTTATCTGATTCATCTTGTTTATTTAAATGCCTCCGTCGCAGCGTTTCAGGCCTCAGGGTTGCATAATATAAAATCTGCGTATATTATTAATGAACACTGTGGGGAATGAAGCCTTTATGACACGCTCCCTTTTCTTGTAAATCAAATATTATGATTCTGTAAGAAAACTGCACAAATAAAGTATTTCAGCTTCCATTGAGGCTAAATCCTGCAGGGCATCTGGCTGCCTATATGTTCTCTACATTACTCTGATGAAACATTTATGAAGAATAATGATTCTCCACACTCTCAGCTCCTAAAGCTGATAAAATCTCTTTCCATTGCGGGACGATGAAAAACATATTTTAACAGAATCATTGTGAAAACAAGTTGGACTTTAAAGTGGATTTTTCCCGATATGGAAACCCAGAACATTTGATTTAATGTCTTTTGCTCCTACAATTTGTGTTGGCCTGGAGTTACGAATGTTTATTCACATTCTGAGAGCGTTGACACAATTATCCAGCGAGAAGGAAGACAAATGTTTGCTGTTGGCTACAAAAAACACATTTGCTTTCTGTACAACGTGACAGGAACATTCTACATAAGCAGCCTGTAAAGCATGCTGGAGCCACGGTAGATGCAAAAAACAGAAACAAAATTTACATTTCTGTCTAGAAAATCTCAGAAATGTACTTAAAACCCCCCAAAAATATTCAAATTTGAAAAGTCACAAACTGTCTAAATAAAAAAAAAACTTCAAAAGGCTTAAATTTTTCACTTTTGAAAATATTGAAAGTTTAATATTTAATATTTTTGAAACAAGAAAATTCCCTCTTTTTTCCCCAATTAATCTTAGAATTTTTAGATTTTATTTTTTTTAGCAAATTCTCAACTTTTCCCGTTGTTTTTCTAAAAACTTTGAGATTAATATCAAAATTTCAGTTTTTTCAGCAAATTTGTATCTTTTGCAGCTCAGAAATAATTGCACTAAACATTTTTGAGTTTTTGTCAGAAATTAACAGTTTTTCCCTTTACAGTGGCCCCAACT